CACTCTTTCTAGACGTGTCTTTTGAGGTTTTATGCTGTTTAAGAAAATGCACAAGTAAATATATCTCTGCGATGATCGCTCTCACCTTACTGCCGAGGAAGGTTGAACGCTCGGGCAGATCGACGTTTCTCGCGGACGTGATCATGGAATCGTTTGGCGGAAAACTCGCTGCTGCTGTTACTTGTCGATCACGTATCTCATCTACGTATCACACTTCGCAACACGACTCGATCTGCGCGTGGATTGTGGTCGATCGCCAGCGACTGACTGATGCTGTCTGACAGTCCGACTCGCTGCGATGCGATAAGCCATGAGCTACAAGCCACAAAGACGTATGACTGACCAGGGAAGTGTACGAAGACACGGAGAGTACCCTCGTCCGGTTTTTTACAAAGCTCGATATGACTCGGCTGGGTCTCTCCAGATCTCTATTCACACCAGCTGATTCTCTACGTCAAATGTACGATGGTTGACGTAGTCCGTTCAGCGAGATGAGATAAAATCTATTCTAGATATTCGCAAGCATAATCACGTCAAATGCATGTGAGGAATCCACGAAAAATGGCGCGTTGATTTATTCTAAATTGTTATTATTTTATATGTAATTTTATTTATCTCTTTAATTTTTCATAATTTGCTGTGCGTTTATAGTCTAATGTATATAAATTGCATACAATATATAACTACATATTTAATATATTAATATGCAACTATGTGAACTCTGGTCCAAAAATAATTTGTTAATACGTGGTGAGATAAGTATCTCTTGAAAAAATTTATTGCAAAATATATTAAAGAAAGAAGAGCCCACGTGTGTTACTGATCTACAATGTCGAACGAAATATGTGCGAAACAATGCAATATGAGCGAATTGATGCGAGAAGATACGGATTCGGAGGTCTTTTTCCAAAAGTATACCTTATCAGAAGAGACCACAGCGAGACTCGAATCTATCAGGAAAATAATGAAGGATAATATTGCCCAGGCAAATCCTCTGTGGAAAGTGATAGCAGGAGAGGTTAGAATTGTGTTTTGATAAGATCTAAATGTTTCTTAGATATGCTTCTTATGAATTATAGTTTAGGAGAGAATGTTGGGAATGTGGTGCAAAATATTTAAATCGACACATTTTTTCTTCTGTGTGAAATTGAAATAATTATTTTGTATATAATAAATTAGATTATTTAAAATTATGTATGCAGATAATTAAACACATTATACATAAACTATTTAATTTAGAATGAAGAAGAAGTATGTTCAGAAAGTGAAAACAGTGATAATGATGATGAATCAAACCATAATGAATCGCAGATGATACATGACCAATTAGTATTACCATCTACTCAATTTTACTTTACGCAAGCCGAGAGAACAGTTATAGAATCTGAAAAATCTGTTACTGTATCACCACAAAGATGTGATATTTTAGAGTCTGCTTGTGAGAGTTTAGAACGAAATAATGGCAGACTAGACTTTGCTCAATTAGAAAATCTGTCCAATGAAGATCTTATCTCAGTGGTGAATGAGATGGCAGGAAAATTAAGTTCAAAGGGTATTTATAATCTGTGTGCATCGTTGAACAATATGACTATCGAACAGAGAATAAAATATCTCAATATATTGTGCACACATTTGTTGCTGCCAAAGGTACCAAATAGCATATTACTTAATATATTTATCTGCTGTATTCTTTTCTCATAAGTTAATTATCCTTTATATTGTGGTCACAGATAATCGAACTTGAGGAGCCGTCTCGTTTATTGTCATCTGCAATTGTGGAATGCATTAAAAACTTTCCTGATGAGATTCAGCAGTTTATATTTGTTCCTCTTCTCAATGCTGAGTTAAAAGACACAATGTTGATCACTACTATTGTAAACACATTTGATCTGCAAAAGAAAATAGTTCTTTTAGAGTATGTTTTATAATTATGTTTTATTTTATACACATATGATACAAATATTAATATTAAATTTTTTTTATTATAATAAAACGTTATTTCTGTCCACACACACTCAAGAATACAAATCTTTATATTGCTAAGAATCTATCTATTATTCAAATATCCAAACAGTCTATTAAATTTAATAATGTTTAAATTATTTTTTATGAACTTTTACGATTTTGTGACCATTTATTTTTAAAGAACTATAAGAATAATTATATAATTTATGTAAATACACACACATTATTTTATTTTATTTAAAAAATACTCAAGTATTCTATAAAATTATAATTTATGTTAAAAAAATAATAAATGTTTTTTTTTTTGCAGAGAGTTTCTTACATATGTCAAGGAGATAAAGCCATGGCACTTATCTATATTACAAAATTTCTTATCCGTAAGACTGAATCATAATATGATTGACAAAATTACAAAACTATTTTCGGGAAAAGCGCTTTATTACTCTAAAGATAAAACTTTTGGTAAACTTGTATTATCATTTTTAAAAATGAATACAGGACTGTCTCAAGAGCAGAAAAATCTAATGGCCGAAGTCGTTGCCCTCAATGAAACGTTATTCAGGAAACCCATGGAAAATATCTTAAAGAATATGTAGATCATTAAGTAACATCTAAAAAAAATTAATGATTAAAAAAAGGTTACTGTGTTTAAAGTTTCTTCTAATTAATGAAGTTACTCAAGAGAGCTAAAGATTTTTTTATTATTTAAGATCTAACTTTTATAGTTTTTAAATGTATTTCTAGATTTATATATTCGATATTAATAAGACAGATGAATCCATAAAAAAAAGCATTAATTATTAAAGTAATACCATTTTATCAAACTTTTTTTTCTTTTGACTTCGAAATATATATATAAATGATGCTACACGATAAATTATTATTATTTCTGACGTTTCACATGCACTTCTAGCGAGATGCGCGCGAGATCAGTGACTCCGTGCGCTGATCAGCTGATTGGAGATTGCATTCGAAAATTCGAGTTATAGTCTTATCGTCAGTCTTTACTTTATTCCGATGCGATACATGATTTTTTTCTAAAGACTAGTGCCCGTTGACAATTATTATTGACAGAGGTAGATCGCCTCGATTGTCGTGCAAAAATGACAGAGGAATTGTCTGGTGTAACCATAGTGATATTTATAGCAGCGGGCGTATTGACAATATTATTGCTATTTATCTTCGCGAAACGACAAATTATGAGATTTGCTCTGAGATCTCGTCGAGGTCCTCATATCCCTATAGGACACGATGCCAAAAAAGTGTGTATTCCACAATCTGATATAATACTTAATAGAGGTTAAGCCCTGCTGTTATATGTATTATTATTTAATAAATGTTTTAGTCCTTGAAAAAGGAAATAGAGAGGAGGATTGAAGTAATACCTAGGATCCAATATGAACCGCAACTCATCAATGATCCTAGGTACATTTTAACTCCAGGGGGTCAAGCTCCGCCACATTATTATAGATTGAAAGCAGTTGACGATGTTAAAACCTTAGGTAAGTTATCAATGCATTGTTGTGTTAATGCTATTTCATATCATGTGTGTTTGCAGAGGCAGAGATTACAAGGTATGACAACTGTTTGAAAAGACATCCCTCAGAGAATATGAGAGCATATTTGCTCACCACACTTGCCACTCCATTAAATGGAAGCGGTCAGCGTTTAATACACCAGTTCTGTGATTTGTACGAACACGCGAGACACGATCCTACTGAATTCGGTGATGAGGAGTATCAAGTGTACACTCGTTTATTTCTAAAGTTAATGGATGCGTAAGTATAATTCATAATTTCTTTTTAATTATAATTCATAGTTTACTTATTGTTTAGCTTTGCAACAAAAAATGCCGAGCGCTAACAATCAAATATGTCTTAAATATTGCTGAGAAGAAAAAAATATAATTTTAGATATTATTCAAAGTATTTATTAAAATTATTTAGGGCGCGTTTATTAAAATCGTATTCGAGCAGTAGAAAGTCTAGTCCTAGTCGTACACCAATCAAAAAGAACATGGAGACAAAGAGAAATATTTTGGAACCGCGAATGCGTCCACCAGAAGAACAGATTCTAACTGGCTCGAGACCTAATACTTTAACAGTAATGACATTAGACAATAGCGAGACGTCCGTGTAGCATTATGAGTGCCGTCACATACAACATATGTGACGAGGAAATTGTAGATAGATATGATATTGAAATAATTTGTATGATACTACTATGTGCAAATGAAACGTCCGATTTAGTTAGGAAATTGTTAAAATGCATTTTTATTTTTATGATAAGTAAGACACCCAAGGTCTTCACATTCTATTCAAAATGAGTATCAGTATTAGTCTAATAATTCTAATATATTTTATAGACAATGAACATTTTTTTCCTCCAATTTGTTTACTATTTTTATGCATATAAATTTATATTTATACAAAAGTAAATCTTACATAAAAAATAAGATTTTTACATTTTTTGAATAGACATTGCTTCTAAAATTGCTGTTTTGACAGGTACTGATGTATATAACAACAGTATAGAAGTAGTCGAATTAGAGAATTGGTAAAAATTTTAATAAAATTTAAGAAAATGTCTAAAATAATTAAAAGATAATAGAAAGTTTTCTTTTCTTTTGAATGTTTATATATTTTTCAGCAATGACGAATTAGCATATCTTTTTCTACATGTTACTATTTAAATGTAAAAATATTTAACAAACTAACGAATTGGATATTAACTATAGTGTAAAAAGATAGACCTAAGTGTGTGTATCAACCTATCAGAATTTGTCGTAATTATTATATTTTATTAGCAATAAAATATAGATATTTGAATAAAATTGTCAAGAATATGTATAGATTATTTGTTACAGTTAGAGGATTTAATATTATTAATGAAATGTAAGGCTGAATAATACAAATAAGTAAATCAATTCAATATTGAAATCTTCCCTTTTTTTATATAAAAATATTTTATGTATATACATTCTCTCTTTAGTTAAATGTGGGGATATAAGTTTTGACTGACAAGTAATTTGTCCACTGTAAATTATAGTCTTCTTCATGCCTTAATAAGATTAATGCACTTTGAAACGCAGATATATACACATCAGATATGGAACTGGTCCTCATGTGATTCAGCCATTTCATAATCTAAACAAAATATCAATACGATTTATACATATATATCATATATATTTATGTATTATATAGATATATTGTCCGTTTCACATACGACGAACTTTCGTCAATTGTAATATGTAAATATAACATTTTTTTAGCTGATAAATATATAATACAATATTAAAAATCTCTTCGTAATTTATGTAAAATATTTTACATAAATATTTACACACACACACACACACATATACACATACCTGACAAGATATGGACTTCCATATTTGTCGATCAATAAGCACAGAAATGGCCTGTGGGAACAATCTTATCCTCTCATCTCGCAAACTAGTTAACAATTCTCTTTTTGGCAATAGGCAATCCATGCCGGATAAACAGATGATTGAGACGAATAAGATATCGCAATAAAAGATTATATTGTTTTTTTCATGTGATTCCTCCACTATAAGTGCGTTAATGTGACTCATAAAATCCAAAATCCAATTTTTTGGGGATCCAGAGTCATAGGATTTCAATAATCTCAAGTTAGTTTGCACTCTTTGTATATTTTCTAACAAATATTTTTGCATCCTGCAAAAAGAAAAAAATTATTTTTATTGAACAATCCCCCTGACTGGTAACTAAATTTATTATATAATCATTATAATTGTTAATATTTACTCAGGATTAGACGCAGCCATATCGATAGGTTCATTTAGCCAAATGAGTGGTGAGTTGATAGAATTGAATTTCCTAAAGGATATTTCAGCTCTAATAGTGATGGCGTTCTTCAGTTTTTTTGGCGTCACTTCGAACCAGATGCTAGGTGACGTCATTCTTTCGATGTCCTTGTCCAATAATTCCATCACGGCTGCAAGATATTTCTCGAAATATTTGGAGGATGTTAAATCGACTTTTTCTAATATTTGTTCCAACATACTGGTCAACAGCGTGCGGTTTCCTATAAGTATCACGCTGCTTTTCAAAGCAGTGGCATATGAAGAGACAATGCGATTGAACAAATCGACTGATCTTTCGTCATTGAGTGAGATTTTTTCAATGATATAATTGAGAGAAGTTTCGAGAAATTGTTTCAAGGAACTGGGCTGAATGGCCTGACACAGCTCGTCGAGATTCGAATAAAATACTAAATGTTTTTCATTTAGCAACAATTGACCAGCTTCTGATGCGGATGTGTACATCGATAAGAAACTCTCCGTGAGCAATTTTGCAGATGCAGAGATTTGACAGTGACGGCTCGCGATGGACAGACTGTACTCTTTAGCCTCCTCTGATATCTGCATAGCTTCCTTCAAGAAATCCCACTTTATGTTCGGTAACGGTTTTTTATATTTGTGAGCGAATATACGCAGACATTCCACTATGGCTCTCTGATTGCTCGGATCAATCTTGTTACCTCGTCTCAGATATTCGCCGACGGCCCTTATCACGCTTCTTTCCGGCAAATACTTGTAATTAGACGGTTCTCCTTGCGGCCAAGTGTATATTCGCGACCTGAAGCCGCTCAATTCATCCTCGATGTAAAAAATTAAAAGATCCCCGGCTGCCGATAAAACGCTTGGGTTTATCTTCTTTAACATCTGGATCCAACAAGTGCCCGGTATATATTGCAATACATTTTCGGACTTGTCAGTTTCATTAGCCGTCTTTCCTGAGTAAGTAGATACTACGAGATCTGATCGAAAGTCCAAGGGCAAAGCGCTTAGAGGAACTCGTTCCAAATGGTAAGATCTCAACGCTTTGAACGCCGCTTTTGCGATCTTCGTGTCTTCGCAAATTGTGTAATCCCACAGATGCGTCACGATGTCAACGATGAATTTATCGTAGTCGTCGCTCGCGCGAAATGGAAACGATGGAATGTCCGCAAAAAGTTCGCACAGACTCTCCAGAACCACAGTACGTTTTTCCTTACGCATCTTTGGCGCTAATACCTGCCAAGTGGAGTAGATGCCTGTCAAATAAAATTACGAAAAATTTTGGTACTTTATAAAGAATTATACAACATATGAAAAAAGGAGTAAATAAAACTATAATACAATATTTAAAAAAAGAGTAGCGTCTAAAAATATAATGTACCTATCACCGCAAATTTGCATAGGGCAGAGATGCTATTGAGCGCGAGTGCGCTGGCAGTACCGCCGTTTAAATCGACGCATCGGTTCAGGATTTGCGACAGTAGCGGTACAAGTTCTTCGCCGTCTTCGGGTCGATTCTCACAAATGTATTTGATCGCCTGAGCACACGTCACGTCCGAATGCCAACTGTGATCGGTCTCCATAGTATCCATGAGAGCAGCGGATATAAAGCGATAGCAGCGCGGTTCCTTCTCCAACGCCTTCGTATAGAGTTGGATCGCGAAATATTTTAGCGGCTTGCCACTATTCAATAGCGTGTCCAACGTGTGAATGACAATTGGCAAGTTCTCCTTAGACATAGTAAACTCGGGGACGGCTAACAACAGATACTTCAAGGTAGAGCTGTCGCAAGATTTGGTTAATTTATGCAACAACAAAGATAGAACGTGCGATGTAAAGGAGTTGATCTCCCGCGCTATTTGTACAAGAATGTCGCAGGTTTTCTGTACAACGATAGATTCATTGCTGTACAGGAAGATTCCACACAAGATAAGTTTGCACATGTATCTCAGATCGATCGGTGCGAGTGATAAGTTTTCTAACCACGATAGGATATCGTTTTCCAAAGAATATAGACTGCGAATGAGTTCTGTATAAAATTGAATATATCTATTGCTGTGGCTGAACGTGAGCAGCATTTTGTTTGATGCAATATCATCACCATTGCCCGTTTGTTTTTGTGACATTATTCTAATTAATAATTCTTTTGCTTCTGCTAATGCATCAGAGCACAATAGTGACGGATAAGCCAGCCATTTTAATAAGGATGCAGCTAACGCATTTAATAATATGATACTGCACGGCATTTTGTCCACAATAACTGTACCTGTAATATAAAATCGATCAAAATCAAAACTCGTGAAATTTTAAGTTTTTTAAAGAGAGATAACTTTATATTATTATTTTGGATTATTTTTATATTGGCATTTATGTGTATATATCGTGTTTATTAAATATACTTACATATCTGAAAAGCATTGAGCAAATAAGCTGCGGGGCATACCAAGATTATTTCCGTCATCATAGCTATCGTGATATTTCCTATATTATTGTAAGACCGTTCGATCAGATCCAATATAGCACAAAAATTTTGCATTGGTTCATGCCCATATTCCAAAAGCTGTATTGTCAAAGATGCGATTAAAGGTATCAAAGCCGTGCAATACTCTTCGTTTCCTTTCAGCAACGATACTTCCGCAAGCTCAAGCACTCGACAATTCGCATCGACGCAAGTATCTATCCGATTTGTACACAACCAGAGTAAAATCTCTGCTTGTAAATTCAAAGTGTTGCTAGATTTGATTAGAAGTTGCCATGTCTCATGCTTGCAGCTGTCACATAAGTCTACAGAAGGATTGCACAATATGTATATAAATACAGGTCGTAACAGTTTTATGCTTTGTTCCATAACACTGAAATTTGAATAAATTTAATGTATATATAAAAGTTACTTTTCTCGGTCGGAAAAATAATGGATGAAGAACATTTCATCCTTTTATTTGTTGTATTTCTATCAGTTATATTTTTTTGTTTTGTTTTTAGTGGATACTCCGTAAGTTTAAGGAAATTTATACTGTAAATTGCTAAGTATATAATATAAAAAAACATACTGTTTATCATAATGATGCATGATGAGTTTCATTTGATTCAACACAGATCTCCAGCTAAGTTTTTCCTGATTCAGGATTGTGATAAATGGATGCTGAGTAGGTACTTGAAGAGTATATTCGTTGCATTCATCGTGCATTTTCCAATCCAATATCAACAGTTGACTCACAGCTATAGTAATTGCTTGATAATTTCTGCAAATTTTAATTATAATAAGTATAATGAGATAATAATATGACTTGAAATAAATATCTATAAATATATAAATTATTAATAGTTGCTTTGTTTAACATGTACATACATACTTTGAAGAAGATAGACATGCCATGAAGCTGGCTAATGCAGACTTGACATCCCATAATCCAGTTTCAACAAGCACAATCACTGCTTGGCATGCAGATGTACTGACTATAGAATCATTGCTGTTGCATTTAGATGAGAGCAATTTAAATTCTGCTATCTGTAAAAGAAAATTATATAAAAACAAAATAAATACTAAATTAATTATATACAATTATTATTGAAATTAAGGTTATTTACTTTTGAAATATCCTTTTCTTCGATCTCAAACTTTTTCTTAATCGCATCAATCAATTTAGATATTGCCTGTAGAAAAACAATCGAGTAAGAGCATAGTTGTACTAAATATAAATATGTAACCAATATTTAATATTATTGATATTTACATGTGATATCAAAGTGGGGTCTCGTGATTTTAATTTATAATCGATTTCGTCCATAGTGTATATGTGTATATTAAATTATCTTTTACAAGTTTTATTCTTAATAATTGTCTGTAAAATTTTCTGTAAAGAAGATACACTCATATAAGGATACATGTAAGCTCAAAATATAGGCTTAACGCGCGTATATATATATATTAATTAAAAAATATTAGATCTGTCTTTCCCACGTTTGGATAATAAACATAACCTAATTTAATCGGTGCTGCATGATGCTCGCCGTCTTGTAATACTAGATGTTGGATCTAAGTCTAAGGGTAATAGCCAATCGCATTTGACTGCTATCTAGAAAATGCGCGATTGTTATCTGCGCATTACAATCACTCGCATGCGCAGTAGACGACGATATATAAATAGTTTCACTGTAATAAATATTTAATATGTAAATATGTACTGTATAACAATCTCTCTGTGAAATGCGCGATTGTTGTCTGCGCATTACAATCACTCGCATGCGCAGTAGACGACGATATATAAATAGTTTCACTGTAATAAATATTTAATATGTAAATATGTATTGTATAACAATCTCTCTGTGTACATAAATTTTGATATTAGTGAATTCTCAACACCGATCAAGTGCATCTACGTCTGCGAATTCATCTTCAATCTTCTAATATAGCGGTAAGTTTTGTTTATATCTGCTTTAATGCAAAGTAGATCGTTAAAGAATTAAAATTATTCAAGTAATTACTCAAACAACTAATTTTCAGCGCATTTTCTAATTTATATTGAAAACTTTATTATTTTCATGACTTTATCGTTTTTTTATTATTTCTATTAAATATATTTGACATATTAAGGAAGATTTTAATAAAAAATTTGACTTAATAATATACATATATATTTTCATATCTTTAACTCTAATCTTAGATTTTTTTTAAATTCTTTCTTAAGCAAAGAACGGATAAGGAATGGGATAAGTTTGAATTGCAAAGATAACGTAAAAAAAGGGTAGAGGAGTTTTGAGATTTTTCAATATATTTATTTGTATGGACAAGTGTCGGAGCATAGTGCACAATATATTTAATATATAGTAGTCTGAGGAAGGGGGATCAGAGTACATTCTTGGAGTTTGAACACAATATCTTACAATTTAACGACAAGATGCCTGCATGTTTTTTTTTCTTCCGTATCTGCTTTATATGTATATATATTATCGTTGAACACTCATTCTAATATATGTCTTTTATTCTTCTTTTACACACGCATATACACACACACATACATTCTTGTGTTTATTCATTCTCGTTCTTTCATACGGTCTTATCTCTCCCTCTCTCTTTCTCCTATGATACTCGATTATGCAACGTCCTAGCAAATATGCGTAGTACTCGCTACAATATCGTATCCTTAGGATAGACGGAGGTTGTCTCCAATTACTAATTACATTCATTCTCTATTACACATGGATAGCGAGTTGCGCGTCTCAAGGAAAATCCCGTTTCCGCAGAATAAGCGGAGGCAGCCGGGAGTGTAGGGGAGGAGAGCAGGGGGAGCACAGAGAGCGGAGCTCGTTTGCTTGAACCACAAAACTGTAACCAACCCGTTTTCCGGTAATGACGATTCGAATGTGGATGAAATATAAAGCTTTCTGATTACGAGGGCTGTGATTCGGAGACGACAACTCTTTTTCTCTCTCTTTTCTCTCTTTCTATATAT